CAAAGTTGGAAATCAATCCAAATAAAGGGAGTTTCATAAAACATATCCATTTGAGACAAAAGGCTACATTAACTGGCGCCCAACATGGAGCGTCACATATTTGGACTTCAATCCAAATAAACGGAGTTTTATTAAACATCTGCGTTGGGGACTATTTGAGACAAAGGGTACATTAACTGGCGCCCAATGTTAAGCATCAATCCAAATAAACGGAGTTTAATTAAAAATCTCCATTGGTGGCAAAAGGCTAACCTGCGCCCAACGTGGGACGCCACTTAGTTGAACATCGAAATATGGCACAACACAAAGTCCGACATCAATCCAAATAAAGGGAGTTTAATAAAACATCTCCACTTGAGACAAAAGGATACATTAATTGGCGCCCAACGTGGAGCACCACATAGTTGGACATCAATTCAAATAAACGGAGTTTTTTTAAACATTTCCATGGGAGGCTTAGTTAACTTACATATTTATGATCAGCCTTAGTTTCTGTGACGTTTTAGCCAAGTACAAATTTTCAGGTTTTGAGGATAGTAGATTTGACCATTTTTTCGCCAGGTATAAAAAATTCGTCTGATATGAAACTAACGTCTTTTCCACTTCTTGTGAAGTTTGTCTCACTACCTGGCCTTATTATGGCTATCTAATCCCATTACCAAATAATATTTTTGAACATTGTTTCTTGTAATTTATATATCTTTTGTTAGATTGTCATTATCAATGACTGGTCCGGCGAGAAAATCATCTGACCATTTTTAATCTTAAATCCAATGGTGGGACGGACAAATTTTGTTGTTGTCATGCAATTGTTTGATCGTTTATAGAAGTAACAACTAACAAAAGCTTGTCGTTCATACATATGACCATACATGTCGGCTGGAGTATGTTAGCCGGCTAGATGCCGCCAAGTTGTTGTTCGACAACAAGAGGTCAAGTTAATCTTGCATTACAAACTTCACAGATCAGATCACACAGAAAATTAGCTATGAAATATTTGAAATGTTCGAACAACTAGAAAATATCAATAAATCAAATATTTGGTGTGAACAATAATTTTAAATGATGCGAATGTTTGTCGGGCATCCATGTTGTGTCGAAAAATTAGCTGTAGCCACCACAGCACAATGCGGTCTAATTTATTGCCAAAAAATGACCTGTATTCGATCGATCGTGACAGAAAGATGAATGAATGGGAATTACCATACAAAATTGGCAATATGAAATTATAATTCGGCAATCGAACAAATTTCATGTTCATGCACTCGGAATGGAATGGGTAAATTGTTGCAACCAAATTTTCATTCAAAGTAGATAATTTTTTTTCAAAATTATTTGTGAAAAATGACGTCTTCATTTTCTCACCAACTCAGTGAACACTTGATTTTAATGGCAAAAAAATTGTGAGTCGAATGCTGAAAAAAACATAAATGCCAAAAAATATAACAATAAAAAAAGCTGTAAGTTCAGCCGGGCCGAAATTTGAATCTCCACCATTTGGAACGATTTTGGCAATTCTCAAAAACAATAAAATCCGTTAAAAATTCTAATTCTTAATCTTAAAATACCGAATGTAGCTATTATATTAGGGTCTATACGGCGACATGAACCTGCGTAGGTAACATTTGTCATAAGCCATTACAATATTCAAATCCGAAGCTTAAAAAAATCGGTTATAATGTCGATAAAATCAAAATACCGAATATCGGGAGGTACCGTTATATGGGGCTATACGAAGACGTGGACCTGCACAGACAATTTTCTGTCTTAGGCTGCAGTATCCATTACGAACTTCAAATATCAAATTTGAAAAAATTCCGGAAATACCGAATATCGGGAGGAACCATTATATGGGGGTTGTACGAAGACGTGGACCTGCACAGACAATTTTCTGTCGTAGGCTGTATTATCCATTTCGAACTTCAAATACCGAATTTGAAAAAATTCCGGTGAATAAATTCGCTAAAATCACAAAAATACCGAATATCGGGAGGTACCGTTATATGGGGGCTATACGAAGACGTGGACCTACATGGCCCATTTTCAATACCAAAAGTCCTGCAGACATAACATACATTTGAGCAAATTTTTATCAATCTACTTCAATTCGTTTGGAAGCTGATTTCCACAGACCGACAGACGGATAGGCGGACGGACATCGCTAAATCGACCTAGAATTTTATGCTGATTAAGAATATATATTCTTTGTGGGGTCTAAAATGTGTATTTCGAGGTTGTACAAACGGAATGACAAACTTAATATACCCTCCATACTATGGTGGAGGGTATAAAAACCCTCCGCTTCTGAGCAGAAAGAAAAAGTGGCTTAAAGAACATAAAATGAAGGTCCTGGATTAGCTATCTTCTAGTACAGATAAAAAATGTCGGAAATAGCATCATATTTTAGAATAAGTTTAGATTTGTTCGAATTGGTCACCTTTGCCTCGAATTATGGCCTTCAAACGGCTAATGAAACCGTCACACGCTGCCCGAATGTTGCTCTGCGGTATTTTGGCCCATTCTCGGCGAAGCGCTTGCTTAAGGTGATCGACACTTTGGTATTTTTTAGTGCCAACCTTGTTTTCACAAAATACTCCAGACACAATAGTCCAACGGATTTGTATCCGGAGATTTTGGTGGCCATTGTGCGCTGGAAATGAAGCGAGGAACCTCATTTTGTAATCATTCTTGGGTGGCGCGTGCTGATTGCGATGCTGCTGAGTCCTGTTGGAATGACCAAGGTCTGCGGCCAAAATGTTTGCGTGCCCAAGGCTCCAGAATATTTTCGCGATATATTCAGCATTTATTCTTATGCCACAGTCGATTAATACGAGAGAGCGACCATCGGCTGTTATGGCGGCCCACACCATCACAATGGCTGGCGCTTGAGTTCTGGTGGCCAACACCGAAGGTGCACATTTTCAGCTGACCACTTTGGCAAGTAAACACGATCATTTTGTGTGTTTACAAACGGCAGGACAACGAAAGTTTTCTCATCGGAGAAAACCAAATTCCGCAGTTCACCACTTTCGGCCAAGCGAAACAACTCTTTAGCTCTTTTATTTCTTTTACGGTATAAGTTCTTGCACTTTTTGGAATTTTAATGGCTTTATACCGAGCTCATTTTTCAATATTTGCCGAATGGCATATTGCGATATGTTCGGCCACCATTTTTCGGCCACTGCGATGCGGGTTTCGATCAAGTCGCTTTCTTATTTTTCGAACCATTTCTACTGATGTTGCTGTTTTCTTCCGTCCACTTCCTTGACGTCGGGCTTCGCTACCAGTATCACGGTTACGAGCGATGGTACGAGACACAAAAGATTTATTCACATTCAAATGCTGGAGGGCTTTAACGATAGCCACTTGTGGTTTTCCAGCCATATATAAAGAAATCACACTATCTCGCTTGAATTCCACCACGAATAACTTTTTTTCTGGAAAATTCTCACCAAAATGCTTTTGTACGCTGGTAAACAATATAATGAGCTATCACTGGAATAATTTTAACAGCTGTCGAACGAGTGGCTTAGAATTGACAGCAGTCTAAATTTGGTTGCAGTTTTTTCGTTTAGCTATGATTTAGACGTTTGAAATTTTCTAGAACCCATAGTAGAATTTTATGGCAAGTAATTTTGTAGAATATTTCGACTTGCTATTAAGGGAGTTTTAAACCGTATTTGAAATAAATGACCAAAAGGACCCATTTGATGTTACCAAAAGCACTTATACCTAAAATTCACAAATTCCAAGGAATTTCAATTCGACAATTCCTGAAGGGGGAAACTTGCCGCTGTTCTTAGGTTAATTTGCGATAAACATTCAAAACGCCGATACACTTGTCTTAGTTTTTTTTTTTAGCTCTACTTTCATAATTTGTTGGATTTTGCGACAAATATTTGTAGAACATTTTGTTTTGCTAGTATCCAATTTTAAGGGACTTTTTAAACATTATTTTGAAAATAGGGCCAAGAAGGTTCATTGATTTCGCGCTTGAATTTCAAAATTTCTGACTAAATTAATCCTCCTATTGTTATCTGTAATGTTGCCAATGTCACTATTCACCAAAAATGCACGGATTCCGAGGAATCCTAATCGGAAAATTTCTAAAAATGCTGAAATACTTTACGATATAAACTTTCAAAACGCCGATACACGTGCCTTATAATTTCACCTATACTTTCATAATCTTTTGGTTTTCCTCCATTAATTATTAATAAAAATTAGCATTGTCGCAGAGTGTAATTCTCTCTACAAATATTTAGGCATTTTAAAAAATGGTTTATAAAAATCTAGGTTTCTTAAAAAAATCGCACTTTATTAAAAATATTTTTTATAAAATCTAGGAATCTTGAATAATAATTTTTAAAATTAAAGACCTAAAAAACGCGGCCTTTTACCAATTTTTAAAAAAAAAAGTCCATGATTTTTGAAAAAAATAAAGACAACGGAAAGACATTTAATCCCCTTTGAAATCTCTTTCACATAAAGCCACGTAGTTGAATATATTCTTAAAAACCATATTAGACCTTATGAATATAGTACCTCCTATTGTTTGATCTCGAACTAAATGTCAAATATTTACCATTGCCGGCCATATCACCGTTGAAATCAATTCATTGGGGAAATGGTGTTAATCACAAATTCAATCAAATTGACTATCGCTAAATCTATTTGGATTTTTTTTTGAAAATCTAACGAATCAATAATGCAACATGACACAATTGCCATATTACAACAAATTTAATGATCTCACACATGGGGAGGGAGAAAAAAAAAACCCGAAACGATACCACCCATTGTCTCGCATTCGGCCGATATCCCGCTGCTTAACAATTGAAAATGATTTTTAATTTTTCTATGCTTCCAAAATGGAAGCTAATTGAAATTGATCCAAATTGAGTTACATAGTTTGAGAAGACACACACATTTATGTTAAGCGAAAAAATCCTTTTCTCCACCATCAGAGAGAATCTAGTTTTTCTAGATCCTTGTCTTACCTGATTCTTGGCCGCATCGCCAATCAGACGTTCCGTATCATTGAAGGCCACATAACTGGGCGTTGTACGATTGCCCTGGTCATTGGCAATGATTTCGACTTTGTTGTGCTGCCAGACACCAACACAGGAATAGGTGGTGCCCAAATCAATACCAATTGCTGGAGCCTTAACCATGGTTTCTACGCTTGTTTTTTTTTGTTTAAATTGACTTAGATACTGTTTTTGGATTTTATTTATTCCAAATATGGATTCTTCCTATTTTGGATTGCACAGTGCACACACGCCCGATGTTTTTTTTTTTTTTTTCAAAAAATTATTTCCAACCGTTTCTCCTTTGCGAACTGTGTTGTCAAACCGACGTCGAATATCCAACTAAATGTTCCACCAAATGATTCAGAAGATTTTATGCGATTTTCCGTCGTCCAACTTGCAACGAATAATGCCCCCCACCAAAAAAAGTGTCGGCGTGTAATTCGTTTCTTGTTCGGCCGTTTTTCAATGGGAATTTTTGAGATTTTGGAAAATTTTGATTTTTTTTTCGATTTTTGTTGTTTTGTATTTCCTTTTGTTTTGTTAAATTGATAGGTTTGAAGAAGAAAAATCAATGTTTGTTTGTCTGAAGATCTGTTCGAATATTTTTTGTTGTTTGGCGAAATATTTCTGTTTTGATTTTTGGCAGTTGTTTGAAATTAATTACTTGTTTATTAGTGGTGTGGATATTTAAAGATAATCCGGATAATCGAATATTATGTGTTTGTAAGTCTCTTTAATCAAAAAAATTTATTGTGGATCTTTGAAACAAAGATAGGAAATTAATCCCTTTTGATTCTCAAAAAACAAAAATTGAAAAATCCACGTCTATGGAATATCTTTGAAAAAATATTAGAAAATCGTCTATAATCCTAAAAAAAATATTTAAAAAATCCTTGAAAAAAAATTTTAAAATCCACGTCCTTAAAAAAATATTTAAAAAATCCTTGGAAAAAAATTTTCAAAATCCACGTCCTTAAAAAATATTTAAAAATCCGCGTCCTTTAAAAATATTTAAAAATCCACGTCCTTAAAAATATTTAAAAATCCACGTCCTTTAAAAATATTTAAAAATCCACGTCTATGGAATATCTTTGAAAAATAATTAGAAAATCGTCTATAATCCTAAAAAAAATATTTAAAAAATCCTTGAAAAAAATTTTAAAAATCCACGTCCTTAAAAAATATTTAAAAAATCCTTGGAAAAAAATTTTCAAAATCCACGTCCTTAAAAAATATTTAAAAATCCGCGTCCTTTAAAAATATTTAAAAATCCACGTCCTTAAAAATATTTAAAAATCCACGTCCTAAAAAAATATTTAAAAAATCCACGTCCTAAAAAAATATTTAAAAATCCACGTCCTTGAAAAAAATATTTAAAAATCCATGTCCTAAAAAAATATTTAAAAAATCCACGTCCTAAAAAAATATTTAAAAAATCCACGTCCTAAAAAAATATTTAAAAAATCCACGTCCTTGAAAAAAAATACTTAAAAATCCACGTCCTAAAAAAATATTTAAAAAATCCACGTCCTTGAAAAAATATTTAATAATCCACGTCCTTGAAAAAAATAATATTTAAAAATCCACGTCCTAAAAAAATATTTAAAAAATCCACGTCCTTGAAAAAAAATATTTAAAAATCCACGTTCTAAAAAAATATTTAAACAATCCACGTCCTTGAAAAAAAATATTTAAACAATCCACGTCCTTGAAAAAAAATATTTAAAAAATCCACGTCCTTGAAAAAAAATATTTAAAAAATCCACGTCCTTGAAAAAAAATATTTAAAAATCCACGTTCTAAAAAAAATATTTAAACAATCCACGTCCTTGAAAAAAAATATTTAAACAATCCACGTCCTTGAAAAAAAATATTTAAAAAATCCACGTCCTTGAAAAAGTATTTAAAAAATCCACGTCCTTGAAAAAATATTTAAAAAATCCACGTCCTTAAAAAAAAGTAAAAATCCACGTCCTTAAAAAAATATTAAAAAAATCCACGTCCTTAGAAAAATATTAAAAAAATCCACGTCCTTAAAAAAAATATGTAAAATGTCCACGTCCTTGAAAAAAGTATTTTAAAAATCCACGACTATAATCCTTAACAGAAAAATATTTAAGAAATCCACTTTTATAATCCTTAAAGAAAAATAAAAATCGACGTCTATGGCCCTGGAAAAAATATTTAAAATGTCAAAGTTTATGGCCCTAATATCCTTAAAAAAATATTTAAAAAAATGACGTCTATAATTCTTGAAAAAAAAATAATTAAAAAGTCCACGTTAAGGGCTATAATAATCCTTGAAAAAATATTTAAAATGTACGTCTAATAATCCTTGAAATAAATTTTAAATCTACCTCTAATAATCCTTGAAAAAAATATTAAAAAGTCCACGTCAAGGGCTATAATAATACTTGAAAAAATTATTAAAAAGTCCACATTATAGCCCTTAATATAATAATCCTTGAAAAAAATATTTAAAAAGTCCACGTCAAGGGCTAATAATCCTTGAAGAAAATATTTTAAAAATCCACGCCTATGGCCCTAATAATCCTTGAAGAAAATATTTTAAAAATCCACGCCTATGGCCCTAATAATCCTTGAAGAAAATATTTTAAAAATCCACGTCTATGGCCCTAATAATCTTTGAAAAAAATATTTTAAATATACGTCTAATAATCCTTGAAAAAAATATTTTAAATATACGTGTAATAATCCTTGAAAAAAAAAAATATTTTAAAAATCCAAGTTTATGGCCCTAATAATCCTTAAAAACAATATTTTAAAAATCCATAATAATCCCTGAAAAAATATTTAAAAAAAAAAAAACAAATCTATGGCCCTAATAATCCTTGAAAAAATATATTTTAAAAATCCAAGTCTATGGCTCTAATAATCCTTGAAAAAATATTTTAAAAATCCACGTCTAGTAGAAATTTATTCAAAAAAAGTTGGCCGATCGCAATATTTAGGATAGAGCTTGGAAATTTGATAGAGATTTTTAAATTACATCCAGAGTCATTGTTATGGGAAATGGAAAAACCATACCAATGACTCTGGATGTAATTTAAAAATCTCTATCAAATTTCCAAGCTCTATCCTAAATATTGCGAAATATTTCTCATTGTATATGGTATATGAATTCCTGGCATTTAGCTAAGATTTAGACTTTTAACGTCTTCTACGACCTATATTTTGAATATTGCTACGATCCCGTTTAAAGGGAATTTTTATCCACATTTTCTAAGAAGAACCAAAACGGGCCCTTTATAGACTCGCTTGAGGGTTAAAAAGTTCTACCAAAACATTCGTCGTATTTTTATTTGCAATATTGCCGAAGACACTATATACCCAGGATATACGGTTTCCGAGGAATTTTAATTTTCAAAATAAGACCGGGGAAATTATTTTTAAAATAAATAGGGAATATTTTCGGAGTTTTTAACCATATTTTCTCAAAAGGACCAAAATGACCCCTTTTGTATTCCTCGTATTCTTTTCTGCTATATTGCCGAAGACACTATATACCTAAAATGCACGGATTTCGAGGAATGTTAATTCGATAATTTCCTAAAGTGTGAAAAAGTGGGGAACTCGTCCCGCCCCTCGATTGAGGTTACTTTGCGATGTAAACTTTCAAAACGCCGATTCAAATGTTTTCTTTTATAGCTCTACTTTCATAATCTACTGGATTTCCTTCGTATTTATTTATTTTTTTTTTGTTGCACATTGTTTTTAAAAATCCGGTTATTCGGGCCTTGTTTTGTTAAAACTAACTACAATTTTTAATGTCTTTTTATTTTTGCAAAATAAAATTTCTAGAATTTTGCCATTTCTCTCGCAATCTTTCACTCTCTCTCTCGCCACACAAAAATGATTTTCTGTACACAAGACAAGGTTTGTTGCTATTGGCATATATTTATTATATCTGAAAATCATATCAAGATGAGACAGTTTTTTTATTTTGATTTTAAAAATAGCCACATTTCTTTGGCGATACAAATAAAAATAGTAGAACAAAATTAAGTCAAATTCGTAATGCAGCCATACGAGTGGGCGTCATGACGTGTAGGGTGATGACTTTTTTGGGGGTATTTTCTAGATTCGTGTCTAGTTGATGGTGGCTGTTTTTGTTGTTGCTGGGGCCGGCAAGTTCATTCATTCATCCCATCCATCCATCCGACCAATTTGATGAGAGACACAACCGTTTAGCGTTTGCCCTTTTTCTTTTTCTTCTGACCGTCTGACCAGGCAAAGCCACGAGACTTTAAGACATCCTATGTTTATAAAACAACAAATTAAAAAGAAAAAAAAAAAAATAGTTGTATTACTCATCTTCTAGTTTGTTTTGAATATAAACAAATACTTTTGTTGTTGCCATGCATAAACGCTAAACAACCACCTACTACTCAGGCATGCTCTCACCTGTACATTATGACACACATAATAGGCATTATCCATTGCCGCATCATTGAAAATATCACATCCGATAGATTTACTGCTGGAACTCTTCTTTTTGCCTCCCTCTTTCTTTTTCTTATCACCACTCTCGCCATCGCCACTGCCAGCATTGCTGGAGGTTGAATCTTTACTTCCGCGTTTTTTACGTCCTTTGGTGGCCATATCGTAGTTACGATAGTTAATTGGAATTGTTAATGGATTGTTTATTATGTTTCGATTCGAAATCTCCTTGGTGACCGTGATACTTGGCAAGGAGATATAGAGGGTAAAATAAAAAATGCACCAAATTATTGAATGAATGCAAAAAATATCGGAAGTAGCATCAAATTTTAGAATAATTTTAGATTTGTTCGAATCGGTCACCTTTGGCACGAATTATGGCCTTCAAACGGCCAATGAAACCGTCACACGCTGCCCGAATATTGCTCTGCGGTATTTTAGCCCATTTCCGGCGAAGCGCTTGCTTGAGGTGATCGACACTTTGGTATTTTTAGTGCCAACCTTGCTTTCAAAATTACTCCAAACACAATAGTCCAATGGTATCCGGAGATTTTGGTGGCTATTGTGCGCTGGAAATGAAGCGAGGAACCTCATTGCGTCCTGTTGGAATGTCCTAGGTCTGCGGCCAAAATGTTTGGGTGCCCAAGGCTTTAATACACCCTCTATAATATTTTCGCGATAATATTCGACATTTAATTTGATGCCACGGTCGATTAGTACGAGCGGAGAGCGACCACCGGCTATTATGGCGGTCCACACCATCACCATGGCCGGCACTTGAGTTCTAGTGGCCAACCGAAGGGGCACATTTTCAGCTGACCTCTTTGGCAAGTAAAAACGATAATTTTGTTTGTTTCGGCAGTTCACCACTTTCGGCCAAGCGAAGCAACTCTTTAACTCTTTTGAGTCTATTTTCTTTCTGTTGTGGTGTAAGTTGTTGTACTTTTTGGAATTTTAATGGCTTTACCCCGAGCTCACTTTTCAATATTTGCTGAATGGAATATTACGATGTGTTCAGCTCACGAGCCATTTTTCGGCCACTGCGATGCGGGTTTCGATCAAGTCGCTTCTTTACTTTTCCAACCATTTCTGCTGATGTTGCTGTTTTCTTCCGTCCACTTCCTTGACATCGGGCTACACTACCAGTATCACGGTAACGAGCGATGGTACGAGACACAAAAGATTTATTCACATTTAAATGCTGGAGTGCTCTAACGACCACTTGTGGTTTTCCAGCCAAATATAAAGAAATCACACTGTCACGTTTGAATTCCATTACGAATAACTTTTTTTTCTGGAAAATTCTCCCCAAAATGCTTTTGTACCCTTGTAAAGAATATAATGAGCTGTCACTGGAATAATTTTAACAGCTGTCGGACTTACAATGACAGCAGTCTGAAGTTGGTTGCAGTTTTTTCTTCTCACCCTGTAAGCGTTAGGTTAAAATAAAAATAATCCTTGAAAATATATGTTTAAAAAATCGACGTCTGTGGCAGTGATAACCCTTCAAAAAAAATTGTAAAAAATAATCTATCACAAATTATTATAAAAAAAAAACACTTTTATGGCGGGGATAACCTTCAAAAAATATTTAAAAAAATTATTCAAAAAATATTAAAAAAAAACATATAAAAAATTTTAAATTTAAAAAAATTTGTAAAAAATAATCTATCAAAAATTATTTTAAAACATATTAAAAAAATAATCCTTAAAAAATAATTTAAAAAAATCTACGTTTTTTGGTGGTGATAATCCTTCAAAAAAATATTTAAAAAATAAATCTTGGAGAAATATTTTTAAAACATCCACTTTTATGGCGGTGATTATCTTTCAAAAAATATTTTAAAAAAAATAAATCTTGGAAAAATATTTAAAAAAAATCCACGTTTATGGCGGTGATAATCTTCAAAAAATATTTAAAAAAATTATTCAAAATATATTTTTAAAAAATCCACTTTTAGGGCGGTGATAATTCTTCAAAAATTATTCAAAATCCATGTTTATAGGCGATTATCCTTCAAAAAATATTAAAAATAAATCTTGGAGAAATATTTTTAAAAATAATATAATATAACAATAATCCGTCAAAACTATTTTTAAAAAATGTATGGCAGTTATAATCCTTGAAAAATTATTTTTAAGAAATCATCGTTTGTGGCAGTTATTCAAAAAATATTTTTAAGAGATAATCCTTCAAAAATATTTTCAAAAAATCCTCGTTTATGACGGTGATAATCCTTCCAAAAATATTTAAAAAAAAAAATTATTCAAAATATATTTTTAAATCCACGTTTATTGAGGCGATAATGCTTCAACAAATATTTAAAAGAAAAACATTAAAAAATATTTCTAAAAAATCCAAGTTTATGGCGTCAATAATCCGTCAAAAACTATTTTTTAAAAAAGTATGGCAGTGATAATCTTTGAAAAAAATAATTTTAAGAAATCCACATTTGTGGCAGTTATTCAAAAAATATTTTTAAGAGATAATCCTTCAAAAATATTTTTAAAAAATCCTCGTTTATGACGGTGATAATCCTTCCAAAAATATTTAAAAAATAATTTAAAAAAATCTACGTTTTTTGGTGGTAATAATCCTTCAAATAAATATTTAAAAAATAAATCTTGGAGAAATATTTTTAAAACATCATTTTAAAAAATAATCTTTGAAAAAATATTTTAAAAAAATCCAGGTTAATGGCGGTGATAACATTAAAAAAATATTTAAAAAAATTATTCAAAATATATTTTTAAAAAACCCACGTTTATGGCAGTGATAATTCTTCACAAAATATTTGAAAAAAAATATTCGAAATATAGTTTTAAATCCACGTTTATAGAGGCGATAATCATTCAAAAAATATTTGAATAAAGCTTAAAAAAATGTTTTTTAAAAAATCCATTATGGCGTCAATAATCCGTCAAAAAATATTTTTAAAAAATATATGGCGGTGATAATCTTTGAAAAAATATTTTTAAGAAATCCACGTTTGTGACCGTTATTCAAAAAATATTTTTAAGAAATAATCCTTCAAAAATATTTTTTAAATATCCCCGTTTATGGCGGTGATAATCCTTCCGAAAAAAATCCTTAAAAAATAATTTTAGAAAATCTACGGTTTTTGGTGGTGATAATCCTTCAAAAAATATTTAAAAAATAAATCTTGGAAAAATATTTTTAAAAAATCCACGTTTATGGAGTTAATAATCCGTCAAAAACTATTTTTAAAAAATTTATGACGGTGAGAACCCTTGAAAAAATATTTTTAAAAAATCCGTCAAAAAATATTTTTAAAAAAATTTATGGCGGTGATAAACGATGAAAAAATATTTTTTAAAAATCGACGTTTGCGGCACTTATTATCCTTAAAAAAATTTTTAAGTAATAATCCTTCAAAAAAATTTGTAAAAGATCCCCGTTTATGGCGGTGATAATCTTTCAAAAAATATTTAAAAAAATAATTCTTTCCAAAAATATTTACAAAAAATAATCCTAAAAAAATAATTTTAAAAAATCCACGTTTTTTGGTGGTGATAATCCTTCAAAAAATTAAAAAAAAATAAATAAATCTTGGAAAAATATTTTTAAAAAATCCAGGTTTATTCCGGTGATAATACTTCAATAAATATTTAAAAAAAATAATAATAAACCTTTAAAAAATATTTTTGAAAAATCCACGTTTATGGCGGTGATCATATCAAAAAATATGTTTAAAAACTAATCCTTCAAAAATTTACGATGTAAAGTATTCAAACGCCAATAGAAATGTCTTCTTTTTTAGCTCTACTTTCATAATCTACTTGATTTTCTGTGTAATTATTAAATAAATTGAATTTTGTCGCCCTGATTTGTAGAACTGATAATCCTTGAAAAATATTTTTAATTTTTTTATCTAATAAAAAAAATAAATAAAAATTATCTCCAAATGAATTTTAATAAATATATATGTTTTTTCTTTATTGTTTAAAAATTCTGAAAATCTTCTGGCCAAACTATCGATGCTATCCAATCGATGTAGGACGAGACACGTGTATAGACACCGGGACTTCCACTGCCACACACCTCACCATAGGAAATAATGCCAACCAGATAGAAGCGAAAACCGGGACGATTGCTGCGACGTCGGAGATTCAACTGTAATGGACCACCAGAGTCACCCTACAAATAAATAAAAAAAGGATCAATTAGAGTTTCCTAATTTTTTATGGTAACAAATTTTTATCAAAACCTACCTGACACGTATCACGATTGTGTACGTAGTCTTTGGCGCAAATTTGCGTCTCGACAATACCCTCGGGCGCACTTTCATCAGCCGGCAGAGCCTGATTACATTCCTGCAAACGAACCAATGTCAAGTCTAGCTCTGTTAGAATATTTGTCGGTGCCTTGGCAAAACTTGTCGAACCATAACCCATGGTAAAGACATGTGGATACGGTATACGATCCAAGGCCCACAAACGTATGGGTCGCACAAATCGGGTGAAGCTATAGGGAGAAAAGTATTTTTTTAGTATTTTTAATAAAATTACAGTTAAAATTTACTGGTTTAAAAAAATTTATTGGGGTAGAACTAAGAAGGTAACCTCGTGCAGTCATCTCATTGTCAAAATGTATATTCTTAGTCCATTGTTTCTACACAGATCGGAAATGGAAATCTGTTGTCTCTGCAGCTAATGTTGACAAAATAAGTCAGAGAAAATGAAGAGCCGCTTATTTGAAATGAGGTTACCTTCTTAATTCTACCATGGTTTTTCTCAATACAGTATCATGTAAACATACTATTAGTTATTATTTCTTAACTTACACAATGGGTTCCTGTAATCTCAGCAGGGCAATGTCATGATAATGCAATGACGTATTGTAGAGTGGGTGTAAAATAACTTCGGATATAATACGTGTCTGAGGTATTTCCGAATTTTCATTTTCATCTTTGAGGTTGATTATGCCAAACTTTACCAAAACGGGGGTATCGCTGAAAATAGATGGAGAATGTGTTCAGAGATTAGTTAAACGAATATGGGACTATAATATAGAAACCCATAAAGAAAGTATTAAAGTCGGGCGGGGCCGACTTTATGATACCCTACACCACTTTGCTAATTTAGTAGAGCTCCACATAACAATTAGAAGTTTTTATGACAGAATTCAATCATACGCGCTATGATTATAATTATAATTTAAAGTTCAAAGGGTTAAATATGCCGAAGCATTTGTATCTTTTAAATTCGGACTTGTATTGCATATTTGGTGCACAATTAATTTGAAATCGGATAAAGATATACATGGGAGCTATATCCAAAATCGGAACCGATCTCGATAAAATTTGGCAAAAATATTTCTGAGCTGTATTTGATATATTTCCCAGAATATAGTTGTTACGGAGTGCCTATTACGTCTGTGGGTAACAAATACAACAAATCGGATGAACAATATATATGGGAGCTATAGCTATATCTGAACCGATCTTCACCAAATCTGGCATACTAGCTTCTAGACTCAATTCGGTCGTATGTGCCAAGTTCCATCCCATTTGGGCAAATACTAGACGTTTGGTGTACAATAAAAGGTAAATCGGACGAAGTTATATATGGCAGCTATATCCAAATCGGAACCGATTTCGATAAAATTTGGCGAAAATATTTCTGAGCTGTATTTGATATATTTCCCTGAATATCGTTGTTACGGAGTGCATATTACGGCTGTGGGTAACAAATATGACAAATCGGATGAACAGTATATATGGGAGCTATAGCTATATCTGAACCGATCTTCACCAAATTTGACATACTAGCTTCTAGACTCAATACGGTTGTAAGTGCCAAATTTCATTCAATTTGGGCAAATATTAGACGTTTGCTGCACAATCAAAGGTAAATCGGACGAAGTTATAAATGGGAGCTACATCCAGATCTGAACCGATCTCGATAAAATTTAGCAAATGTATTTCTGAGCTGTTTTTGATAGATTTTCCCAAACACTGTTGTTACAGAGTGCATATTACGGCTGTGGAGGACTAAAATAACAAATCGGATGAACAATATATATGGGAGCTATAGCTATTTCTGAACCGATTTCCATCAAATTTGGCATACTTGTTTTCAGGCCTAATTTGCTTGTACGTGCAAAATTTCATACTATTCGGACTGATATGACACGTTTGGTGCACAATAAAAGGCAAATCGGACGAAGATATATATGGGAGCTATATCTAAATTTTTACCGATTATCTCCAATTTTAATAGGGCCAAACAAATGTATTGTGCAAAATTTCATCTGGATAGGGCAATAAATGCGAACTGTACTTTGTTTACAAATATACATGGGCAGACGGACGGACGGACGGACGGACGGACAGACAGACAGTCGGACGGACGGACATGCAGGTCCACGTCTTCGTATAGCCCCCATATAAAAGTCATGATTTAAACGGTATTTTTGAAAATTTTCAAGTTCCTTCCAAATGGTAGAGGGAAGTAAAAGTAGCAGAGTGGCATCTATATCCTCCTAAGAGCGTATCTAAAAACGCAAGGATAACTCACTAGAACTACTAAATCCAGTGTTGTATTTTGACGCCGATGTCACGAATCAAGCTTCGATTTTTTTTGGAATTAAGTAATTGGGTAAGTCTTCATAAATGTTACTAAAGAATTGAATTTAATTCTTGAAATTGGAAAAAAGTCTAATATGGACTTACCCATTTACTTGGCAACAATGTGCGGCAGTGATAACATAATATGGACTTATCAGACTTCCTCCACATTTGTATTCTATGCGATTTTCAGTTGTTAGGAATCCTAAGGCGGCCTGAAAATAAAACATAGAACCAAATTTTAAGTGGAGAAGAGGAGGAAAGAAAAAAAAATAGTAATCCCTTGGTAACCCATAGGGATGAGAATGTTATTATTAACATGGCAGACTTTCTCGAGCACTAATTGGTGTGAAACAGTTCTAACCGTTTTCGCATATTTTGCGTCTAATTTGAAACGGATATTGGAATTCATATTTTAAGCAGAACCTGCATTTTTCGATATCATAGAGGAAACATCGATTATCGTAGTAAACACTTAAATATGGTATTGTAGTTGTGGAACAAAACACAAATTTATGGTCGAATATGCATTGACAGCCAAAAAACATTTCAGATATGTACAGGGTGAGATAAAAAAACTGCAACAAAGTCAAAAGCCATAATTTTTTTTTTAAAATTTGTTGAATGAAAGCAAAAAAAATGTCGGAAATAGCATCAAATTTGAGAATAGGTTTAGATTTATTCGAATTGGTCACTTTTGGCACGAATTATGGCCTTCGAACAGCTAATGAAATCGTCACACGCTGCCCGAATGTTGCTCTGTGGTATTTCTGCCCATTCCCGGCGTTATGGAGGCCCACACTATCACCATGGCCGGTGCTTGAGTTGTGGTGGCCAACCGAAGGTGCACATTTTCAGCTGACCTCTTTGGCAAGTAAACACGATGATTTTGTTTGTTTACAATCTGCAGGACAACGAATGTGCACCACTTTCGCCCATGCGAAGCAACTCACTCTAGCTTCCGAACGAATTGAAATAGGTTAATAAAGTTTTGCTCTAATGTATGTTATGTCTGCAAGACTTTTGGTATTGAAAATGGGCCATGTAGGTCCACGTTTTGGTGTAGCCTCCATACAACGTTACCTCCCGATACTCTGTATTTTGATGATTTTAGCGACATTATTCACCGAAATAGTTTCTAATTTGGTATTTGAAGTTCGCAATGGATACTACAGCCTAAGACAGAAACTTGTCTGTGCAGGTCCACCTCTTCGTATAGCCCCCATTTAACGGTACCTCCCGATATTCGGTATTTTAATGATTTTATGGACATTTTTTCACCAGAATTCTTTTAAATTTGTTATTTGAAGTTCGTAATGGATACTACAGCCTATATAGCCCATATAACGGTACCTCCCGATATTCGATATTTTGATGATTTTAGCCAATTTATTCGCCGGAATTGTTTCAAATTTGGTATCTAAAGTTCGTAATGGATACTACAGCCTAAGACAGAAAATTGTCTGTGTAGGTCCACGTCTTCGTATAGCCCCCATATAACGGTACCTCCCGATGTTCGGTATTTTGATATTTTGATATTATTGAGGAACAAAGGAGTTTTAGGTTGACTTAGTTCGGAAATGGCCCTAGGCTCCTTTGTTCATTTCCTAAGAAGCCAGCCAATGATTTAAGCCAGCCAAATATGCACTTTATGTATTCCCACCTTAAGTTCTTGCACCTTCTGGAATTTCAATGGTTTTACCCCGATCTCATTTTTCAATATTTGCCGAATGGAGTATTGCGATATGTTTAGCTCACGAGTCATATTTCGGCCACTGCGATGCGGGTTTCGATCAAGTCGCTTCTTTACTTTTCGAACCATTTCTGCCGATGTTGCTGTTTTCTTTCGTTTACTTCATTGACTTCGGGCTATGCTATCAGTATCACGGTAACGAGCGATGGAATGAGACACAAAAGATTTATTCACATCTGAATGCTGAAGTGCTCTAACGATAGCCACTTGTGGTTTTCCAGCCAAATATAAAGACATCACAATATCACGTTTGAATTCCATCACGAATAACTTTTTTTCTGGAAAATTCTCACCAAAATGCTTTTGTACGCTTGTAAACAACATAATGAGCTGTCACTGAAAAAATTTTAACAGCTGTCGGACGAGTGGCTTAGAGATGACAGCAGTCTGAAGTTGGTTGCCGTTTTTTTCATTTCACCCTGTATTGAGCCACATGATGATATTCGTTTTCTAATTGATTTACAAAATTTTTAAGTCATCCGCCAAAACTCACCATATGTGGATATTGACCCGGAGCCACAAGAGAACGACCATCAAAATCGTCGGTGGTACCTTGAAGCTCATCGACATCACTATTCCCACTATAACTCTTCTCCAAACTTCGATAGATGTTATAGAAATTTTGTTGGCGCTGCGGCTTTGGTTTTCGTGGTCGCGCGTATTCCACCGATCGTTGCGAATCATGGATGGGAAGACGTAAATTTTGCAACACTTGATTTTGTAATTCTTCCAACATGGCCCAGCCTTTATTCAATTCGAATTGTATTGAATTGAAAATATCCATTTGATCGGGTTGCCAGAGCGGCAATGATGGTAATGCTGGCAGCGTTGGAATTTGTAATGGCGGCAGAGGTGGCGGTGTGGGTATGCCGAAAAATGGCACATTTGAATTTCGGGAATTTTGTATGCGATTTCTTCGCCGCTGGGCCAGTGGAGAATGAATTATTAAAATAACCGAAAATATTGTTACGATTGTTTTCATTTTGTTTTTGAAATTAAAATTTTGCCAAAAGAAAAAGAGCGCCTTGCCGCCAAACGTTTCGATACAACCGCAAATCCGGACTACTGTTTTAGCAGCTAACAAATACATATTATAAATTCGGATAATAGTTAAAATAGCTTGCAAATATATTCTTGTTTCGTTCTTTTTTTTGCTCAGGGAGCGGGAATATTTTTTTGCTAAATTTAAACAGAGTTTTAGTCGTTAGTGGATATTTGGTTGTCTTAATTCGCACATGTTTGCGTTAATTTAAATTATAATTAATTATGAGCTTTTAATAGATTCTGGTTTGGAAGTTTGTGAATGAGCCACCGAAATTAATGGTATAACAAGTCTCTATCCAGGCGTATATTTTGAAACAAGTAAAACCAGAGTTAACGACGACACATTGAACTTTTTGTAACCTTTATCATGGAAAAAAATAGTTCTGCCCAAAACGGTGCTACATTCTTTTGGTTATAGTTTGTTCTCAACCCTTGTACCACCAGCCCTGTGGGTCTAAAAAATTAAAAAGGAAACAAGAAAAAAAGCTCTAAGTTCGGTCGGGCCGATCTTTGAATACCCTCCACCATTTGGAACGATTTTGGCAATTTTCAAAAAAAAAAAGAAATAAATAAAATCCGTTAAAAATTCTGTTAAAATTCCGTTAAAAATTCTGTTAAAAATGGTATATACGACGAAGTGGACCTGCATAGGCAACTTTTGTCATAAACCATTACAATATTCAAATGCGAAACTTGAATAAAAAAGTTCGGTGAATAATGTAGTTAAATCATAAAAATTCCGTTATATGGGGGCTATACGAAGATGTGGACCTGCACAGACAATTTTCTGTCATAGGCTGTAGCATCCACTACGAACTTCAAATACCAATTTGAAACAATTTCTGTGAATAATGTCGTTAAAATCATCAAAATATCGAATATCGGGAGGTAGAGTTATGTGGGAGTTAGACGTGGACCTGTACAGACAATTTTCTGTCATAGGCTGTAGGTTCCATTACGAACTTCCAACACCAAATGTTAAACAATTCCGGTTATTAATGTCGCTAAAATCATCAAAGTGCCGAATATCGTTAGGGACCGTTATATAGGGGCTATACGAAGATGTGGACCTGCTCACACAATTTTCTGTCGTAGGCGTAGTAACCGTTACGAACTTTAAACACCAAATTTGAAACAATTCCTGTGAATAGTATCGCTAAACCCATCAAAATACCAAATATCGGGAGGTACTGTTATATGGGGGCTATACGATAATGTGGAGCTGCATACACAATTTTCTGTCTTAGGCTGTAGCATTCATTACGAATTTCAAATGCACAATTTGAAACAATTCCGTTGAATAATGTCGCTAAAATCATCAAAATACCGAATATAGGGAGGTACCGTTATATGGGGGATGTACGAAGACGGGGACCTGCACAGATATTTTTCTTTCTAAGGCTGTAGTATCCATTTCGAACTTCAAATACCAAATTTGAAATAATTCCGTTGAATAATGTCACTTAAATCATTAAAATACCGAATATCGGGAGATACCCTTATAAAGGGGCTATATGAAGATAAAGATAATGGACCTACACAGACAATTTTCTATCTTAGACTGTTGTAACCATTACGAACTTTTAAACACCAAATTTGATACAATTCCGGTAAATAATGTAGCTATAATCACCAAAATACCGAATATTAGGAGGTACCGTTACATGGGGGTTATACCAAAACGTGGACCTACATGGCCCATTTTCAATACCAAAAGTCCTGCAGACATAATATACATTTGAGTGAAATTTTATCAATCTACTTAATTTCGTTCAGAAGCTAGAGTGATTTCAACAGATGGACGGACATTGCTAACCTGGCATAGAATTTTATGCTGATCAAGAATATATATATTTTGTCTGGTCTAAAATGTATATTTCGCGGTGTTACAAATGGAATGACAAACTGAAAATACCCTCCATACTATGGTGGTATAAAAATATCGGAAATAGCATCAAATTGTAGAATAAGTTTACATTTGTTCGAATTGGTCACCTTTGGCACGATTTATGGCCTTCAAACGACCAATGAAACCGTCACACGCTACCCGAATGTTGCTTTGGGTATTTTGGCCCATTCCCGGCAAGCGCTTGCTTGAGGTGATCGACACTTTGGTATTTTTTAGTGCCAACCTTGCTTTCCAAAAAACTCCAGACACAATAGTCCAACGGATTGGTATCCGGAAATTTTGGTGGCCGTTGTGCGCTGGAAATGAAGCGAGGAGCCTCATTTTGTAACCATTCATGGTTGGCGCTGAGTGCGATGTGGCTAAGGCCTGCCGGAATGTCCAAGGTCTGCGGCCAAAATGTTTGTGTGCCCAAGGATTAAATACACTCTCCAGAATATTTTCGCGTTAATATTCGGCAATTATTCTGATGCCACGGTCGATTAATACAAGCTATTTGGCGGCCCACACCATCACCATGGCTGACTCTTGATTTCTGGTGGCCAATCGAAGGTGTACATTTTCAGCTGACCTCTTTGGCCAGGAACCACGATCACTTTGTTTGTTTACAAACTGCTGGACAACAAATGTTTTCTCATCGGAAAAAACCAAATTCGGCAGTTTACCACATTCGGCCAAGCGAAGCAACTCTTTAGCTCTTTTGAGTCTATTTTCTTTCTGTTGCGGTGTAAGTTATTGCACTTTTTGGAATTTCAATGGCTTTACCCCGAGCTTATTTTTCAATATTTGCCGAATGGAATATTGCGATATGTTCCGCTCACCAGACATTTTTCGGCCACTGCGACGCGGGTTTCGATCAAGTCGCTTTTTTACTTTTCGAACCATTTCTAGTGATGTTGCTGTTTTCTTCCGTCCACTTCTTTGACGTCTGGCTACACTACCAGTATCACGGTAACGAGCGATGGTACGAGACACAAAAGATTTATTCACATTTAAATGCTGGAGTGCTCCGACGATAGCCACTTGTGGTTTTCCAGCCAAATATAAAGAAATCACACTATCACGCTTGAATTCCATCACGAATAACTTTTTTTCTGGAAAATTCTCACCAAAATGCATTTATACGCTTGTAAACAATATAATGAGCTGTCACTGGAAAAATTTTAGGAGCCATCGGACGAGTGGCTTAGAAATGACAGCAGTCTGAAGTTGGTTGTAGTTTTTTTCATTTCACCCTGTATGTAATGTAATTGGCAACTCAAACCCTCGGTAGACACAGACAGCCAACTTACCCATTCAATTCACAACAGTGGGCCGCTGTGATGACAAAATTTGGACTAATTAGACTTCCGCCACATTTGAATTCGACTAATTTTTCAGTTGTTGGGAAACCAATTGCTGCCTGTAAGAAAAAAAGAGAAGATCATATTTAAATATTGAATTGAATTTTTTTTTAAATACACATTTTTGAAAAATCAATAACACCTAAGCATGACATTTAAAAACAATTTTAATTAGTTTGCGGTCTTATAATAATTATTCATGTGGATGGCAAATTATTTGCTTGGGGAATCACCTTCCGTTTCGAAAAATCTCCCAAAAACTGGTTTTGTTCAAAAAATGAAGAAGAAGAAAAAACGAAACTAGATTTATGTTGCTCACGTGAAATGTTGCTGGAAATTTTAAGGGAATGTTTCGTCGAATTTGCATATATGTATAAAAAATTTACAACAAAAACAAATATGAGAGTCGAAACATATGGAATATGCGTATTGGAGATGTTTGTTGGAAATTTGTGGACAGTTGATAAATGACACCAGAGATATATATAATATTATGGTAATAAATTACGAACGGCGCCAAGTTGTTTACATCGGCAAAAACGGCATTAGTTTTCACTGATATAATTGGTATATCCATGGTACAATGATATCAAGGTAGGGCTATGATACCATCTGATTTCATTTTTTTTATTTTCTTGGCTTAATATGTCATCATTATTTGTTTATGTATTTGTTTTCTTTTCAATAACAAAAAAAAAATTGTTCAGAACATATTCAAATTCGGGTGTTTTCAAAATGTTTTTTTCAACGTATGCATCGACAAAATCTAGAGTTTTTGTAGCGAAATAATCCTTTAGAGATATATGGTATATGATTTTGAAAAGAAGTTTTGACCTTTCAGTTATCGCGGTTTTCAATTATTTATTCAAAATAAATGCAACAAGTTGTTTGGTTTTTTATTGTTTTGATACTAATTTTGACATTACAAGCCAAACAGGTAGACCAATTTTTTTCAAAGTTGACCTACCTTCTCTTCATTGTACCATGGGTATATCTATCTTAAATCGGCGCCGATTTTCAAATTCCTAACCGGACAAAGAAAAGAAAGTGGGGAAACAAAAGCATTAATTTTTCCATTAAATTGGGCGCCACCTTTACATAGCGGGGTAAGAGCCTGCATTGCATTGTGAAGATGGATATTTTCGTTTTTTTATACCCTCCACCATAGTATGGAGGGTATATTAAGTTTGTCATTCCGTTTGTAACACCTCAAAATAAACATTTTAGACCCCACAAAGTATATATATTCTTCATCAGCATAAAATTCTATGTCGGTTTGTCAATGTCCGTCCGTCTATCCGTCTGCCCGTCTGTGGAAATCACTCTAGCTTCCGAACGAAATGAAGTAGGTTGATAAAATTTTACTCAGATGTGTATTATGTCTGCAGGACTTGGTATTGAAAATGGGCCATGTAGGTCCACGTCTTCGTATAGTCCCCCATATAACGGTATCTCCCGATATGCGGTATTTTGATGATTTTGCCGACATTATTTACCAGAATTGTTTAAAATTTGGTATTTGAATTTCGTAATAGATACTATAGCATAAAACAGAAAATGGACCATGTAGGTCCACGTCTTCGTATATTCCCCATATAACGGTACCTCCCGATATGCGGTATTTTGATGATTTTAGCGACATTATTTACCGGAATTGTTTCAAATTTGGTATTTGAAGTTCGTAATGGATACTACAGCCTAAGACAAAAAATTGTCTGTGCAGGTCCACGTCTTCTTAGAGCCCCCATATAACGGAACCTCCCAAAATTCCGTATTTTGATGATTTTGGGACATTATTCACCGGAATTGTTTGAAATTTGGCATTTAATGTTCGTAATGGATAGTACAACCTATGGCAGAAAATTGTCTGTACAAGTCCACGTCTTCGTATAGCCCCCATATAACAGTACCTCCCGATATGCGGTATTTTGACGATTTTAGCGACTTTATTTACCGGAATTGTTTCAATTTTGGTATTTGAAGTTCGTAATGGATACTACAGCCTAAGACAAAAAATGGACCATGTAGGTTCACGCCTTCGTATAGCACCCATATAACGGTATCTCCCGATATTGGGTATTCTGATGATTTTAGAGACATTATTTACCGGAACTATTTCAAATTTTGTATTTGAAGTTCGTAATGAATACTACAGCCTATGACAGAAAATTGTCTGTGCAGGTCCACGTCTTCGTATAGCCCCCATACCCCCCGATATTCGGTATTTTGATGATTTTAGCGACTCAAATTTTGTATTTGAAGTTCGTAATGGATACTACAGTCTGTGACAGAAAATTGTCTACGCAGGTCCAGGTCTTCGTATAGGCCCCATATATCAGTACCTCTCTATATTCGGTATTTTGACGAGTTTAGGTACAATACCCACCGAAATTGTTTGAGATGTCGTATTTGATCTTCGCTTTTGTGCCTACAACTCTCTGTACGACCGTACAGCCTTTTTCATTGCCAGTTGCCCCTAACCTGTCATTATTTACTTTTTATTGTCCAGTAATTGTACCCTCAGCCATATGGCTACAGAGGGTATATCATTTATATTCATTTGATTCGCCCAAAACGTGTCTTATCGAAAAAACGGTTTTAGACCCTAGGTTTCTTTGGACCAAATCTCTTTCAGGACATTTGGAGACGATCTAGCGATGTCCGTTCGTCTGTCCATCTGGCTGGCTGGTGCGCACGATAACTCTCTAAGGGAGTATCCGATTTGATCCAAACTTGGTACATCGTAATATTATTGTTAAACTTAGATCGAGTTCGGAGATGGGCAATATCGGTCCATTCCTTCTGGAACCTCCCCCCACAAAATGTCAATATTTTCAAAGAAAATTATTTACTGCACAGCAAGAGAAAGGATAATCCAATTGTGCTCCAAACTATGCTTATCACAATATTTGCATCAATGCTAGGTCAGGTGCGAAAATGGAAAATATCGGTCCACTCCATCAAGTACCTCCCTCACAAACAGTCAACATTTTGAATAAATCTAACTCAAATAATATGTGACATAAGAGCCCGATTGACTTCAAATTTCAAAAATCGCTTTATTTTTTTTTTGTCCAAATTCTGATATGAAGATGGGAAATATCAGTCCATTGCTTCTGGTACCTCCCCCACAACGGGCCAAAATTTCGAATAACTATGAAGCTTCTAAAACGAGAAATGAGCATTTGATTTCTCTGAAACTCTGCGCATCCCAATATTTCTATCAGTACAAAATATGGTATAAAGACGGAATATATTGATCCACTCCTCCTGGTACCTCCCCCACAAATGGTCAAAATTTTGAATAATTATTACTCAAATAATATGTGACATAAGTGTCCGATTCTCTTCAAATTTCACACATTGCATTATTTTTATTAGCCCAAAATGTGGTATGAAGATGAGAAATATCGCTACTTCTGGTACCTCCCGCACAACGGGCCAAAATTTCGAATAACTATCTTCCAATCCCACACATTTCAATATTTCTACTAATGCAAGGTTTGATATGAAGATGATAGATATCGGCCGATCCCTTCTGATACCTCTCCCACAAAGGGTGAACATTTTCAATACTCATGTCTTCCGTAACTTGAGATTCTGTTCAAACTTGGTATATGTAAGTATTTCTCTCAGCCAGAGTTCTGCCGCTTATATGGAATTTTTAGGTCCAGTCTTTCTGGCACTTCAACCAAAAAACATTGTCATATTTTTATTGATTTAGGTCAGATACGAAATGAACAATATTGGCCTATTCTTTCGGATTCTCCCCCATATAGGACCAACATTTTAAATAATCATAGCGATAGTCAACGAATATGCGTTGAGGGTATACATCTGTCGGCTTAAGAAACTGACACTTTTTATACCCTACACCACAAGGTGGTCAGGGTATTATGTCTTTGTGCATTTGTCTGTAACAGGCAAAAGGAAACGAGATAGACCCATAGTTCCTTTTGATGATCTGCATAGAATCACATTCTGAGTCGATTTATGCATGCCCGTCCGTCTGTCCCTCTGTCTGTCCATGTATTTTTGTAAACAAATTACAGGTCGCATTTATTGCCCGATTTAGATAAAATTTTGCACAAATCATTTGTATGGCCCAAGGACGAACCCTATTGAAATTGGAAATAATCGGTAAAAAAATTAGATATAGCATCCATATATAACTTCGTCCGATTTACCTTTTATTGTGCACCAAACGTGTAATATCAGCCCGAATAGTATGCAATTTGGTACATACAACCAAATTAGGCCTGAGAATAAGTATGCCACAATTTGATCGAAATCGGTTCAGATATAGCTATAGCTCCCATAGATATTGTTCATCCGATTTGTTATTTTTATCCTCCGCAGCCGTAATATTCACTCTGTAACAACAATATTTTAGGAAATATAGCAAATTCAGCTCAGAAATACATTTGCTAAATTTTATCGAGATCGGTTCAGATTTGGATATAGCTCTTTTATATAACTTCGTCCGATTTACCTTTTATTGTGCACCAAACGTCTAATATTTGCGTAAAATGGAATGAAATTTGGCACTTACGACCGAATTGAGTCTAGAAGGTAGTATGTCAAATTTGGTGAAGATCGATTCAGATATAGCTATAGCTCCCACGTATATTGTTCATCTGATTTTTTATATTTGTTACCCACAACCGTAATATGCACTCCAAAACAACGATATTCAGGGAAATATATCAAATACAGCTCAGAAATATCTATGCCGAACTTTATCGAGATCGGTTCCGATTTGGATATAGCTCCCATATATATCAAATGGGCAATACAAGTCCGAATTTAAAAGATACAAATGCTTCGGCATATTTAGTCCTTTGAACTTTAAATTATAGTTACAATCATGGCGTGCATGATTGAATTCTCCCATAAAAACATTTAATTGTTATGTGGAGCTCTACTAAATTAGCAAAGCGGTGTAGGGTATCATAAAGTCGGCCCCGTCTGACTTTAAGACTTCCTTTACTGGTTATTACTTGTTTCTAACCTCATCTATGTCTAAATTTTCAAATCTTCCAAGATATTTAAAAACATAAATGCTATTGTCTTCTAATAACCGCAATATTTTGATTTTTGTACCGGTTTTAACGAATGAAAGGCGTCATTTCTTAGAACTGGTACAAATCAAAATCAAAACAGCAATCAAAATTAAAATAATTGATTATTTTCTAAAATAATATTGACAGAAATTTTGTGACGAGAAATCGATTGAGCTCAAAAGGGTGTTCTAAGAATTAGAAATTAATGATTAATATGGAATACCCCCACACTGTGACGATTATATGACACATGCCCAGCCAAACATGAATAACAAATCTGTGATAGGCAAATATCACTTTCGGAAAATTGGTTTGTCTGGTTACCTTTCCTGCAGGAATTGTCCAGCAGCTTCTTTCTGAGAGAGTAAAGTAGTTTTATTCCCTTTTGCAAGAGAATTGCAAGAGAATTTCGAGCAATCAGCTGATTTTATGAAAAAAAAAAATCAGCCGATAACTTAAGCCAGTAAAAAACCTCTTTACGTAGCTGCACTTTAAGACTTGCCATTTCCAATATAAATAGGTTGTAAAATTGCTTTCCCAAATATATAAATCAACCGGGGGGAGGAGGAGGAAGAGTTGAATGTGATTGGAAGCAGAAATTTGTTCGGCAAGGCAAACTGTAGAAATGCTAGAAAGAAACACAACTTCATGCTTCAATTTTCTATCCGGCTCGAAGGACCAAATGTATAATTGAGAAGGAGTAACACTACGTCTTCGTTCGGGTGTAGAATCAATTCTCTATTCGGCTCGAAGAATCAAATGTAAAAAAATTAGAAGGGAATCCAACCTCCAACTTTTCCGTATTAAATTCAATTCTGGTTTTATTTAAAACAAGAAAAAAAAACATTAAGTTTGGCCGGGCCTATCTTTTAATACCCTCCACCAGTGGGTAAAGAAAACATTTTTATATAAAAGTATCTCAATTTAAACGTGATCCACTTTAAACTACAAATGCCAGTAAGACCGTTTGGGTAATGCCTTTAAACTTTTCAAACAAAAAAAAAAAAAAAAACATAAGGTGGGTGAGGCCGTTATATGGGGGCCATACCAAAATAGGGAACCTATCAGGGTGAGATAAAAACAAAAACATTAAGTTCGGCCGGGCCAAACTTTTAATGCCCTCCATCTTAGGGTAAAGAAGAAATGTGGCAAAAACCATTAAAATACCGAATATCGGCAGGTACCGTTATATTGGGGCTATACCAAATCGTGGACCTACACATACAATGTTTCGCCAAAGGAGCTAGAACCCATTATGACCTACAAATACCAATTTTCAGACAAATCCGTGAAAAATGTGGCAAAAATCATCAAATTACCGAATATCGGAAGGTACCGTTATATGGGGACTATACCAAAACGTGGACCTATAATTACGATGACTCGCCACACGAACTAGGACCCATTATGATCTACAAATACCAAGTTTTATACAAATCAGTGAAAAAATGTGGCAAAAAATATCAAAATACCGAATATCGGGAGGTACCGTTATATGGGGGCTATACCAAATCATGGACCCATACATGCAATGTTTCGCCACCGGAGCTGGAACCCATTATGACCAACGAATTCCAATTTATAGACATATCCGTGAAAAAATGTGGCAAAAAAAATTAAAATACCGAATATCGGGAGGTACCTTTATATGGGGGCTATACCAAAACGTGAACCCATACATGCAATGTTTTGCCACACGCACATGGACCCGTTATGACCTGCAAATACCAATTTTCAGACAAATCCGTGAAAAAATGTGGCATAAATCATCAAAATACCGAATATCGGGAGGTTCCGTTTTATGGGGACTGTGCCAGAACGTGGACCGATTTATCTCATTTTCAATACCAACTATCCTAGACGCAATACAAATTTTTGTGCAAAATTTTGAAGCCCTAGGTCAAATAATGTGGGCTGTATCGTGATTTAAACAGACAGACAGACATCGAACGACCTACCACAACCCAGAATATTTGGTAAATGGACTCTTGGAAAGTTGGCTGAAGATCCACTTTTTATCAAAAAACAAGTTAAAAAGTATCAGTCGGTATTGCCGCCAGAGATATACCCTCAGCCTATGTTCGATTATTTAAATATATTTTGACTAGTGTTAAGGTTATTCAAACGTTTGACCCTCTATGGAGCAGATCCCGAAGGAATGGGCCAATATTGCCCATTTCCTATCGGACCCAAAATATGATATAAATATTTCGACAGATGTGCCAAGTCTAAATGGAATCGGATGTTAATTTGGCGATTTATGAGCTTCATGGGTACTCAAAATTTCAATATTTTGTGGGGGAGGTACCAGAAGGAATGGACCGATGTATTCCCCCTTCACACCAGGCTATGGGCTAATACAAATATTAGGATTTGCAAAGTTGGAGCAAATTCGAATTAGCCTTTCTCTTTCTGTGCGAAAAATATGGTTTTTTTGAAAATTTCGAACTTTTGTGGGGAGGTACCAGAAGGAGTGGGCCGATATTGTTCATCTTAACACCAGACCTTGGGTTAATATAAATATTGGGATGTGTGAAATTTGAAGACAATCGGACTCTTACATAACATTTTATGAGACTTGTAATTATTCAAAATTTTGACCATTTGTGGGGGAGGTACTTGATGGAGTGGACCGATATTGCCCATTTTCACACCTGACCTAGCACTGACGCAAATATTGGGATTTGCAAAGTTGGAGCAAATTCGGATTATCCTTTCTCTTCCTGTGCAAAAAATATATTTTTTGAAAATTTCGACCTTTTGTGGGGGAGGTACCAGAAGTAGTGGACCGATATTGTCCATCTCCGAACTCGATCTAAGTTTGACAAAAATATTACGATGTAGCCAATTTGGACCAAATCGGATACTGCCTTCGAGAGTTACCGTGCGCACCAGCCAGACAGACAGACGGACGGACGGACATCGCTAGATCGACTTCAAATGTTCTGAAACGGATTTGGTCCAAAGAGACCTAGGGTCTAAAACCGTTATTTCGACTAGGCACGTTTTTGCCGTATCAAATGATATATACCCTCTGTAGCCATATGGCTGAGGGTATAATTATGTTAAGCAAGAATCAACTGTTTTTGAAATCTTTTTCGAGATCATAAAGGGAGAATCGGTTACTGTAGTAAACATTTTTACATACTTGCAGTTCTGGAACAGACCAATTATTTCACGTTCGGGACCGGCCAATTGGCCGTCATGATCGAGCGTTTTATCACCTTTAGACTATTTTTTGTAGGACTGTGTTTAAGCTGATGTCAATGCAGACCAGCCAATTTCAATTGACGCACTCGAAGACAACATTAGAAAATTTATTCGTGAGATTAGAGTCGAAATATCAAAATTGGATTGAACGGATGGAATATTTATATTCGATGTGAAAATATTTCAACCACTCCATATTTTTTTCGAATTCGGATATAATAGCATCCATAAATCAAGTTTCAAATTTGAGCTTTTGAATATTTCCTTCACTTACCATATGGGGATATTGTCCAGGTGCCACAACCGAGCGCCCATCGAAATCATCATTATAATCATCGTCGCGTTCATCGTTGTCATCACTAAAATTCGAATCCAATCCTCGATAGATTTTATAAAAATGTTGATAATATAAAGCCTCGGGGATATGCGGCCGCGCAAAATCAAAAGATAAATGGGTATTGTATTGGGGCTTGTGAAATCCGGTCTGTGAAGGCCAGGGCAGACGTTCGTGCCATGACCATCCTTGGCTAAATTGGAAGCCAGGCGGTACATTGGCTGATTGGGAGATATCTGAAAGTCTTGGTGGTGGTCCACGGGAAGGACCTCTTTGTGGTGGGGGTCCTCTGTTGGGTGGTGGTCCCCTATTGGGTGGAGGTCCCCTATTAGGTGGCGGTCCTCCTTGTGGTGGAGATCGTTGCGGTGGCCTTTGTAATTGAACATTTTCAGTGGATGCCGACGGGCGCCTTACCGGCCTACTCTGTGATCCTCCTTTCCTATTAGGCCTTTTTGTTGCAGAATTTTGGGGAATTCGGGTTGGCTTGGCAGATTCCGTGGGAGGAAATCTTATGGGTGCCGAATTTTGTTGTCTTTGTGGTGGAATTCTATTTTTCGAAGATCCTCCTTGTTTTTGTGGCAGACTTTTTTGCTGGGCAGATTGTTGTTGTTGGCGTTGTCTATTTGGAGATGAGACTCCTGGTTGCGGCGGAAATCTATTTGAAGAGGATGAGCCTCCTTGTTGTGGGGAGAAATTATTTTGCTGTTGTCTATTTGGAGATGGGACTCCTGTTTGCGGTGGAAATCTATTTGGCGAGGAGCCTCCTTGTTGTGGCGAAATGTTATTTTGCTGTTGTTGCCGCTGTGGTGTTCTATTTACAGGAGAGACATTCTGTGATGGAGCTCTGATTTGCTGCAAAAATTGCTGCTGAGGTTGTGAAAATCCATTTTGAGTTGAAAATGCCTGGGCTGAGGCAAAGCCATTTTGTTGAGGAAATTGAGAAAATTGATTTTGCCTCGAAAATCCCTGCTGCTGCTGAAATCCGTTATGTATTGCAAGTTCTTGAGATACAAATGGAAATCCTCCCGATGGCCCCTGGGCACTGGCATACAAAAATCGATGGTATGGATCGAAATTATAATATTGTCCCAACGAAAGAATCACAATATTTCCGATTGCAATGAGACCGATTTTGAGGTGCATTTTTTCTATTCTTTTGTTACTTTTTTTTTGTTTTTTGGGCTTTTAACTGTTGTTCTCCATGTGTTTTGTTAGACAACCGATTGATGACTATTTTATTGGTTCGAGCCGAATATCAGGCTACGCATACATCGGAGAGAAGATTTTGAAAAATAAACTCGTTTTTTTGCTTTTGTTTTTAAACGTTTATTTATTAATTAATGCAAATAATGTGTTTATCAATGAATTTCGGGAGAGTTGTTGTTAGGAAAAGAAGAAAACAAAAACGATAACACAAATAAGCGATAAACTGTTAATGTGTTCCGGTCCAGGCGATCTTTGGCGCCCTGCGGTGATTGGTTATTGATTGGTATTGAGTACATAACCATTTAGACCCTATTTATCAAAAATTTGCATAGCTTCTTCAGTAGCGGCAATAACTTTCGTTCTGCCATACATGCATACCATAGTATGGAGGGTATATTAAGTTTGTCATGTCGTTTGTAACACCTCGAAATACACATTTTATACCCCGCAAAGTATTTATATTCTTGATCAGCATAAAATTCGATGTCGATGTGTGTCCGTCTGTGGAAATCACTCTAGCTTCCGAACGAAATAAAGTAGGTTCATAAAATTGTACTCAAATGTATATTATGTCTGCTGGACTTTTGGTATTGAAAATGGGCCAATTAGGTCCACGTTTTGGTATAGCCCCCATATAATGGTACCTCCCTATTTTCGGTATTTTTGTGATTAAAGCTACATTTGGTATTTGATGTTCGTAAAGGATACTTCAGCCTAAGACACCGGAATTATCACAAATTTGATATTTGAAATTTTTAATGGATACTTCAACCTAAGACAGAAAATTGTCTGTGCAGGTTCACGTCTTCGTATAGCCCCCATATAATGGTACCTCCCGATATTCGGAATTTTTATGATTTTATAGGCGTTTTTCACCGGAGTTGTTTCAAATTTGGCATTTGAAGTTCGTAATGGATATTACAGCCTATGACAGAAAATTGTATGTGCAGGTCCACGTCTTCGTATAGCCCTCATATAATGGTACCTCCGGATATTCGATATTTTGATGATTTAAGCGGCATTATTAACCGGAATTATTTCAAATTTAGTATTTGAAGTTCGTAATGGATACTTCAGCTTAAGACAGAAAATTGTCTGTGCAGGTTCACGTCTTCGTATAGCCCTCATATAACGGTACCTCCCGATATTTGGATGATTTTAGCGACATTATTTACCGGAATTATTTCAAATTTGGTATTTGAAGTTCGTAATGGATACTTCAGCTTAAGACAGAAAATTGTCTGTGCAGGTTCACGTCTTCGTATAGCCCTCATATAACGGTACCTCCCAATATTCGGTATTTTGATGATTTTTAGCGACATTATTTACAGGAATTATTTCAAATTTGGTATTTGAAGTTCGTAATGGATACTTCAGCTTAAGACAGAAAATTGTCTGTGCAGTTTCACGTCTTCGTATAGCCCTCATATAACGGTACCTCCCGATATTCGGTATTTTGATGATTTTTAGCGACATTATTAACCGGAGTTGTTTCTAATTTCGTATTTAGAGTTTGTAATGGGAACTAAATTCTATGACAGAAAATTGACCAGGTCTTCGTATAGGCCCCATATATCAGTATCTCCCTATATTCGCTATTTTGAAGATTTTAGGTACAATATACACCGAAATTGTTTGAAATTTCGTAATTGAAGTTCCTAATAGGTAAAAAAAAGTTATTCGTGATGGAATTCAAGCGTGATTGTGTGATTTCTTTATATTTGGCTGGAAAACCTCGAGTGGCTATCGTTAGAGCACTCCAGCACTTAAATGTGAATAAACCTTTTGTGTCTCGTACCATCGCCCGTTACCATGATACTGAAGTGGACGGAAGAAAACAGCAACATCAGCAGAAATGGTTCGAAAAGAAAAGAAACGACTTGATCGAAATCCGCGTCGCAGTGGCCGAAAAATGTCTGGTGAGCGGAACATATCGCAATATTCCATTCGGCAAATATTGAAAAATGAGGTCGGGGTAAATCCTTTGAAATGCCAAAAAGTGTAAGAACTCAATAGACTCAAAAGAGCTAAAGAGTTGCTTCGCTTGGCCGAAAGTGGTGAACTGCCGAATTTGGTTTTCTCCAATTCGAAAAACATTCGTTCTCCAGCAGTTTGTAAACAAAAAAAGGATCGTGTTTACTTGCCAAAGAGGTCAGCTGAAAATGTGCACCTTCGGTTGGCCACCAGAACTCAAGCGCCGGCCATGGTGATGGTGTGGGCCGTCAAAACAGCCGATGGTCGCTCTCTGCTCGTATTAATCGAACGTGGCATCACAATAAATGCCGAATATTATGGCGAAAATATTCTGGAGGTTGTATTAGCTTTGGGCACGCAAACATTTTGGCCGCAGACCTTGGACATTCCAACAGGACTCAGCACGCGCAGCCCAAGAATGGTTACAAAATGAGTTTCCTCGCTTCATTTTCAGCGCACAATGGCCACCAAAATCTCCGGATGGACTATTGTGTCTGGAATATTTTGGAAAGGAATGTTGGCACTGAAAAAAACCAAAGTATCGATCACCTCAAGCAAGCGCTTCGCCGGGAATGGGCCAAAATACTGCAGAGCAACATTCGGTCGGCGTGTGACGGTTTCATTGACCGTTTAAAGGCCATAATTCGTGCCAAAGGTGACGAATTCGAACAAATCTAAACTTGTTCTAAAATTTAATGTTATTTCCGACATTTTTTGCTTTCATTGAATAAAATTTAAAAAAAAAGAAAAATGTAAAAATTATAGCGTTTTACTTTGTTGCAGTTTTTTATCTGACCCTGGCATTCGGTATTTTTAAGATTTTAACAGAATTTTTTACGGTTTTTTTTGAAATTTTTTTTTGAAAATTCGTTTCAAATGGTGGAGCGTATTCAAAGTTCGGCCCAGCCGTACCTACTGTTTTTTTTACTTGTTTTACAACAGACCATTGCCCTTAAAAACTTCGAGTTATTGTTATATTTTTAATGAATTTTTAATGTTAATACTTTCTACGATACTGTTTTGAAAGTATTTCAGTTTCGTCTCATTAAAAAAAAATAATTAATTAATTAATTATAAATATGTGTAATTAATTGTTGTTTTCTTTTCGTACAAAACAATGACCTTTTTTAAAAACATTTTTTTTTTGTTTTCTACTGCTATCATCTTTTCATGCTATTAATTCCATGATGCATAACCAATTCGAGCTAAATTGAAAGTATAACTGGAACCAGTTCTCAAGTCAAAATAAAGATTAAAAAGAATTTCAAAAAAAAGTAAAAAAAAAAACAATAGTAATTATATTTCAAAAAGAGAATGAATATTGTTGTTTAAAAAAAAAGAAAATTAAGAGAGGAAGCCTAAATAAAATCCCAAAAAGAGAATTAATAAAATAAACACTTAACACATCAAAACTGTATACGATATGTACACAGATACATACGACATGCGGTCAAAAACGATACACAAACAAATACAAATATACGATACACAGAGACGATTCACGATTGAAACACACATATACGATAGACACGTTTTGTATGATATACACAGGAACATACGATATACGTGTTTGTACGATATACACACAGATATTCGATATGCATGTTTGTACGGTACACGATATGGGCACACACAGATATACGATATAAATGTTTGTACGGTACATGAGATGTTCACAAAGACGTACGAGATACGATACCAATATACTCGATAAACGCAGATAAAATATACATTCTAAATTACGATATTAAACACTGGCTTTTAGCTGAACCAATCATTTAAAACTGGCTGCGAAAGGAGCAAGGCATTCTGGCAAGTATGCAACAATAAAATCTAACAAATAAAAAAACATTAAGTTCGGTCGGGCCATGGTAGAATTACAAGGTAACCCTTTCACGCCAGCTGGTATTAATTTGATACGTCAAAAAAATTGTTGTAATTTGAATTCGCCTTACAGATACATAACATAAATTTAAACTTCATCGGAAACAACAATAAGCCTAGAATTCCTTATACTACTCAACCAAATGGCACCGAAATAATGGTTTTGAATCCTAGGTCTCTTTGGACGTAATCCGTTTCAGACATTTGGAGTCCGTTTAGCGATGTCCGCCTTACAGGCTGTTTGTACGCACGATAAGGAAGGAGTATTCGATTTTGTCCAAATTTGGCGCATCGTAATACATCTATCAAAATAAGATCAAGATGGGAATCGGTCTTGCCTCACAAAACGGCAACACGTTCAAAGAAAATAATTTGTACCTTATTGAGCATCCGATTTCGTTCAAACTTTACATATCCTCCCCCACAAAATGTCAGCATTTTCAAAAAAAAATATATTTTTTTGCAAAGAAAGAGAAACGATAATCTGATTTTTCTCCAGGTTTGTAAATCCAAATATTTGCATCAGTGCTAGGTTAGGTGCGAAATGGGCAACATCGTTCCACTCCATCAAGTACCTTCCCCACAAAGGGTCAACATTTCATATATACCAATATTTTTTGAATAACCAAAACGTTTATATAATCCGAAACAGGCATCATATTCTTTTTATATTTTACACATCCCATTATTTCTACTAACTCAAGATAAGCTGTGAAGATGGGTATATCGGTCCATTCCTTTTGGTGCCTCCCCCACAAAGGCTCAAAATTTTGAAAATCCATGAAGCTCATAAAACGAGAAATTAACATCTGTTTCTATTGAGAATTGGTACATCTGAATATTTTCATCTACACAAGATCTGTAATAAAGATGGTAGAGATCGGAAATTCACCGTTTAATGTTGATATTGTTGATGGTTGATGGTTCCTTCCTCATATATTGAGTTCTCTGAATTCTTATTGAATTTGTTTCCATTGAGATTTCCATTTCGCGGGCATTTAACGCATTTTTATATGCTATTGTTTGCTTTTATCGAGTTCTCTTAAACCGGGAAACGTACAAAACAGTACAATTCACAACAACACAACATTTCCTTGCTTGAAATTTCAATAAAAATTTAAAAATAAACCATGGTAGAAATACCAGGTAGCAACATAGGCGAAAATTACAACAAAGCAACTTTTTTA